GCTTGCACATCGAGAGGCGATTGAGCGATGCTCCGACAGCCAGCCATGTCTCCCAACCGTGAACCATTTGGCTGTGCCGGACTTTCCCAGAGACCAAACAGACCGTGAGATGCGAGACCCGCAAAGATGGGCCACCAAGTATTACTTCGATTTCTTCTTGACATCCTTCAAGTCATCCTTGCCAATGGTATCCTCGGTTTGTTTTGTTTCAGGGCAATCAGTATTAGCCCCGTCTCGCGACATTCCAAGACCTGAATGGGTTCCGAATGGGTTCCGATCGCTTGCACATGGCACTGATTCTCCTCTCGGAAGCCTTGACGTCAGGTTCTCACCAAGATGCGCTTCGCTTCGGCTGGGTCGACGTATTGGGCCCCCAACTACGCCTTGCCGGGCGCCCAAGTCTGTGGAGTCCCCATTTTGATATGGGGATATGGGGGGGATGGCGGGGTAGGTGTCAAGATGGGGACCCATGTCAATATGTCAACTCAGAGTCATTTCGATATTATGAATATGCAAGCCATATTAATGCATAAAGGGATTATGAGTATGTAAATGTATTATATACATAGAGATCACATCATGATGTGATTCATGGGTGCGACTTGCGCTGGGGCTTTGGCAGTTCTTGCATATGTAGAATCTGCGTTTCGATCATGGAAACAGGCAAACAGGTAGCATGAGGTGTCTTGGGTTTTGTTTTGTGTAATTGCAGCTTGCGGTTGGTATCCAGCCTGCAACCCCCTTGCGCAGTGTTCGGAGCCTGCGCCAGCGCTTGCAAAGGTTAACATTTTCTGATGTGCGTGTGTGTGTGTGTGTGGTGTGTGTGTGTGTGTCTGTGTGTGTGTGTTGTTGGTAGTGTAGCACAGCATTTGCCAACGGCATCAGGCATCACTATCACCCTATAGCTTTTGCTCTCATAAACCACAATATGACAATATTAATATGGTTTTGCCTGGTGAAAGCTCATGGAATCGCATCAGCCTCAGTGATTGTAAGACTTTACACACCTTGGAATGAGACGACTGGCAACTGTTTGTCGCCACTGTTTTCGGCCGTGTACCGTGTACCTGCGATGCGGGCGCCGTGTAGAAGGGAACCTACGTTTCTGTCCAGAGACCACCGCTTTGTCCGAAGGGCCCAAATAGTCCGAATTCCGAATGAGTCAGATTGCGGAGTACTTTTTCCAACCCAGTGAATCCACTTACCTGCACGAGGCAACCAAGGACAACAAACCTTTTCCAAAACCAAAAGGACAATTGTGACAATAGTGGTTGGATTTCCAGCTGACCCGCTGAAAGTTGGTCACTTTTCGCGGATCCGAAAACGGACAGCGGAATGAGGTGTTTGCTTGTTGCTTAGCAACGGCTCTTTGCACCGACTAAGCAAAAAAAGAAGCGGCCGAACCGGACCGCCCGATGCCTTGGTTTCGATCTGGATGTCAGGAGCCTGAAGCGGATCCAGCGTGCGGAGTGAGGGATCCGACGGGTCCGCGGGCAGTGCGTGGCTGCTGTTCGCCCGAAAAGTCACACGGCGGTGGCTCAAACGGATGGAGACCAAAACGACACCTCGGTAGTTGGAACCAAAGTCTGAAACCTCCGGGTAAATTATATTGGGTCACCCGACCTCACTGTGAATTCGACCTAGCCATCCCCAACATCAGGTGTAACCTGCGCAACCCAAGCCTTGTAAGTTTGAGCTGCACTCAGTTTGCGAAGGTTGGAAAAGACTAATGTCCCACACACCCAATCTTCAAGAGCCACAGGACTTTTTCTTCAAGGACATGGAGCAACAAAGTTACAGTGGGCGCGGATAAATGGCGCAATCATTTGGAGTTCAAGGTTTCAACACCCTCGTTGCTTGGTGACATAAAGGCAATCGTGCCACGTGTTTCGCCCTAATGACAGAGGACGCCCGTTGTTTGTTCTGAAAGGGCATCCCCATTGCTTGGCATTCGGGAAACCAAAAGGAATCCGAGCTATTCAAGAAGGCCCCTGTTATTGAAGCGTTCCAACTTCTCAGATGTGTCTACCTAGAGTCTCCATGACCCTTCAAAAATGGGGTCATTACACTAACTAATGGGGTCATGGACCTATTTTTACAGGGTCATTCAGACTCCAGGTACCGTGTTGAGTGTAAGGAGTCTTAGTCCTAGCATAGCCGACTCACGGTGGCGAGCCGTTGCAGATTCGAGCAAGCTAGCGCTCGCAGTCGGTTGGCGATCAAGCTACATCAGCCACGGAGTCTGTATATGGGTGTTTCCAAAAGAAGGGGACCCCCTAGCATAAAGCTGGGTGGTTTCCTTACCCCGATGTTTGGACACTCCGCCAGCATCCCGCTTTTTGCTTGCGCCTCATGGCTGGACCAGCAAGGGGACGCAACATGCTCGACGCCGAAGAACACAACTAAGATGCGGTCTAATTGACATCATGTAAGCTTGTTTGGTTATCAAGTTGCTGCAGCGAAGACAAGGTGAGTACACAAGGATGGCCATTAGCCCTCTGAATCCATTGTCAAGTTTGATTTGCATTGAGAGTCACGAGGAACCATTACCCCCAAAGCCAGAAATTGGTGCATGTCAAGGATATTAAGAACTGGGAAGCTTGTGCTGCGCTACGTTTGCCAATATTGTTGATTGTTTCTGGATCAGGATATTCATGACAAGCAGGCAAGCAGCTCAGCTGGACGTGTGTCATTCGGCCGAGAGTATCGATTGTTAGTCCCGTGCTTCCCCTCACAATCCGGAAGTGCAGAGTTCATGCCCCGCGAGTCATCTTTCACAGCTTTCAAAGGATTTCTGAACCACAAGCGGGGCACACGTGGAACATTTTGTCACAGTAGGATTCATCACTGGCGTTCTGTGCACGCGGAATATTCTGCTCAACTGATTGGTTTCTATGAGAAGCGGGGATTATTGGCGTGGGCGTTCAGGTACACACCTTTTTGCGTAAGGCCCGCGTGGAGAGCACGTGCCTGGCAGATCTTTCATTGAGAGCCATTGATTCTGGTTTATCAATCTGCTAGTTCATAGGGCCCAAAAGGGGAGGGGAGGGGGAGGCTCCCTCCCCTCTTTTTTGAGGCATTCTGACTAGTGGAGATTATGAGGCTCTGTAGTTTTGAGCATCCAGGCTATGTGCTTCGTGTTGCTTTTTCACTTCCGGCAACTTGGGGGGTGCCGGGGTCAAAGATTCGACGCCATTTGGAGCGGAACAATTGGATGCCGGTCGCCAACGCTCGCGTCCAAGCGAAGGCACAGCATGCGCGTAAAGGCCAAGCTATATTTTCCATCGCTTCCTTATCTATAATCCAAGAACACGCAATGCGGTCAAGCACTCGCTCGCCCACTGAGCATTGCCAATCAAAGTGAAGGGCCTTGGTTTGGTTGTGTGCGCCGGCAACATAGGCTCAACACGAGCTGCACGTCACTGAATCGCAGTAGCCCAAGGTTCGCGGAAAACAAGACACGTGAGACGCATCATATCAAGAAGCCGATTCTTTCAAAGTTGAAGTTGGCCCAGGAGGTTTTTTTTTTGGTGTTATGTAAGGTGTGTCCGGTGGTGTTCTAAGCGGATAGAAGCATCAGCTGAGAGTGAATCATGGATTTGCCACGCCAGAGGACTCTCCCACAGGGCCGTAGGTGTTGCTAAACCTGGCGCTTGATGTTTGTCCGTTTTCCTTTCTTTGGGAATTGTAATACACGTGGGTCATAGGGTTGAACTGCGGGGGGTGATAAATAACCTATTAGGGTAATTTCCCAATTCAACAATTCCAAGATCCTCTCAACGTTCTTCTGCTTAAAGCCAGTGAAATCTGCGGAGGTGTTCGCCCTTACCGATGGATGTGGACGATCTTCTGGCCTTGAAACATGTCGCTGGGACAGCTTTTCGGACATCATGCATGTTGCGCTTGGGGCCTTCGGAGGTGAAGCGGGGAGGGAGCCCAAATAGGCCCCAGATAAGGCTTTATTGAGGCCCTCTACCGTCTCCCCGCCTCAGGCCCCATGAATATTATTGGCAATGTAAGTTGCTTCGAAACGACGGTCTAAGACTCCCTAACCTCAACGGATCATCAGCTGATCTATGACACTCTCGGATTCAGACCATACCAGGCTATGCGCCAAGCTTGCACTTCCAGTTGCTGTTTTTGTTCTATGAAGCCTTGCTGGACATGTTGCGACCATGGCTGATTTCTGCCTCCTTCCAAGTGAACATCCCTAAACTCTCACCTACCAACCAAAATGGGATCCCAAAGCGGTTTTGACCACCACAGCCAGATGGACTAAGTCCAGTCCGTTCCTTTCCACACCCGAGGAAAAAAAGGCCTCCAATGTAGCATCCGCCCTGTGCCAGTTGGGCTGGTCCTGCGATTTACACCCCACATGACTGGGAAGAAGAAGCTTACGTCAGCCACCTTGAGCTCCTTCTGGCCGCCGAGCTTCGAATGTCTCGCCGCCGCCGCGCGCGCCTTGCGCTCAAAACGGGCCGTTTTGGGCCAAGTCCAGCGTTCATCTTTTGCCCGCGCCCGTGGCGCGCGTTGTTTTCTCTCTTTTTGCTGGCCCTGGTCACACACATGGTACACGCCACCCGTATAAGCATGATGTGCGTATGTGTGCGCATGAGTGTGTCTCTATTTGTTCCTATGTTGAATGCATGTCTGAGATGCACCACTACGTGTTTGAAGCAATCTCGCCAGCAGGGCCATACGGCTGAGCGGCTTGTCAAACAGAGTGCGGCACTTGTTGAGCCTGGAGTTAGACCCTTATTACTGCGCAAGATCCCAAAAACATACGCAAGGGGTGCCCTTTGCGGCTTTCCAAGGGGACTCTTGGGTAAGATATTTGCCAACCCTCCATTTCGAATCCACCTTTTCTGGATGAACTCAAGGATGGCTTCCAAACGAAACGCTTCAATTGACAGGGAGCATCAATCGACAGCTTTGCACGCCTTCTGCATGTCCGAGGGCCATGGCGCGCCATGTTCTTCTGGTTCTCTTGGGGTTGCAGGGTCTGGCCTTTACGCGTCCCGGCCAGCGGTGACTTTGCGCTGGGCGTTTTTGGGAGGGGCCCTTCAAATGGATCCGGTGTTTTTTTCTCCTAGGGCTGGTCCCCTGGTTGGTTGATTGGTTGGTTGGTTGGTTGGTTGGTTGGTTGGTTAAAAACCAAAGAAATCCTTGAAATCCAAAGGGCTAAGGCTCTGTCAGGCTGTGTTATACAACACCCTTTCCGGGTTGCCCAAGTGGGCCGGCCCATGGGCTAAGGCCCCCCAAAACAAAGGCCAACATGATGGTCCTATCATGAGGTAAGTGGAGTACAAACCCATTCCCTTTCTTGAAGCCCTTATATGGTACCAGACCAACAAAAAGAGGCCCAATGAAAATAGCAGCTTCCTGGCAACTCGAGTTTCTTGTGGATCGTCGACGAGCAACTTCGGCTGCACGAACATCGCACCAAGTCGGCCAAAGCACTGGGGACACGTGCGGCACCAGCGAGACGCCGGGAGAAGCCATGCGCGGAAGAGGCACACGGACAGCACCCGATGGACACCACCGGGATGGACATGCAACATTGGTGCGACACCGCCTTTTCGCACGATACCAGCGGCAACCAGAAGAAATATGGGAGCGGAAGGTAGCAACACCGGGACACGAACGACACACACGCCGAGAACAGTAGTCAGAAGAAGAAACACCGGAGAGCAACAACCACCGCCCGCACACCACCGCGACGGTACACCGGCGGAAACTGGGAAACCGACCGGGAAATCCATCAACTGGGACTCCCGCTGGACCACCACACCAAAATGCCAGGACAGTATTACCGGAACATGAGCTAGGCCCCGCAGTAGTGAGGTTTCCCCTACTAAAATGGGCTACTGAAAAAAATCGGGTACCCTTAGTCAAATCTCTCTACTGAAGGACCTAGATAGGGAACAGACACCGGAGGGCGCCAGAAGGAACAGCAACGGGGGCCCAGAACTACCGACAAACCGCGGGAACCGCGAACCAGAAACATCCACTGGAAGACAAGAGCAAGAGCTGGACAGAAATGCGACCACAAACAACGTGAGTCAACATGCAGCTTCCTAAGACTACAACGCCTTGCGCACGACCACCAGGACAAGAGAACCGGCAGCCGGAACAGCGCCGGAACACCGCCGAACACCAACACACAACCGGCACACTATGCGGGAACAGCGAGCGGAACACTGCTGGACACCAACTCGCGGAACACCAAACTTTCGGCACAGCCTTTGGACACAAGAGCGCCAGAACTGGTGCGCGACAACGATACCAAAGCGCTGTTAAATCGACCAGGACTTCTGCTTCCGGGGTCACACCAGAGCCTGGCCCAGCACCGAGGAGCTTCGGGAACGGCCCCAAAACGGCGCCGAGATCCCGGACGGCGTGGCGCGTCTGCAGTAAGGAGCTTTTGATCCATCTCCTTGGGCGATTTTGGATTTGGGCTTTCTGCTTTCCATGTTGGTTTTCTTGAGATATGAGTTTTCTGTTTTCCAGGTGATTTGCTGATATAATATCAAGTTGTTCGGATTTGCCTCTGTTTTTGTTTGGGTTGTTTGCTTGCAGTTTGGAGCAGCGTGGCTTTTTCCCCGTTCCTTTGGTGGATGAACTTCTTTGGTGACCCGCTGACAGTCTTTCAGGAGGAAATGTGGGACAACTAGTTGCGCTAGCTGCTCAAATCTGATGCTCGATGCTTCCACGATTTGCGCAACCTTATGAGTCTTGCAAAACGTGTGTGTGTCTCTGTGTGTGTGTGTGCTGTGGTGTGCTGTGCTGTGGTGTGGTGTGGTGTGGTGTGGTGTGGTGTGGTGTGATGTGGTGTGGTGTGGTGTGGTGTGGTGTGGTGTGGTGTGTGTGTGTGTGTGGTGTGTGTGTGTGTGTGTGGTGTGGTGTGGTGTGGTGTGGTGTGGTGTGGTGTGGTGTGGTGTGGTGTGGTGTGGTGTGGTGTGGTGTGTGTGTGTGGTGTGTGTGTGGTGTGTGTGTGTGGTAAGTGTGTGTGTGTGGTAAGTGTGTGTGTGGTAAGTGTGTGTGTGTGGTGTGTGTGTGTGTGGTGTGTGTGTGTGTGTGTGCGTTTGTGTGTTTGTGTGTCTGTGTGTTTGTGTGTCTGTGTGTCTGTGCGTCTGTGTGTCTGTGTGTCTGTGTGTGTGTGTGTCTGTGTGTGTCTGTGTGTGTCTGTGTGTGTCTGTGTGTGTCTGTCTCTGTGTGTGTGTGTGTGTTCGCGTTTTTCACCCGAAGCCCGGAAGTTACACTAGTGAAACAAGTATATAATAAGTAAGCAAATACTTCCTTCTGTTGGCCGCTTTTAAAGGAGGCCAGGGATTGGTTTTGCGCTTGAGTTGGCAAAAGTGACGTCCAGCCAGCAGCACCTGATAAAGACTCGTGTACCCACATGGCTGCGTCAGCTTTCCCTCTCACAGGCAGCCTTGACGCACATGCTCAAATGTGATCCATGCTGTCCAGGTCATTGGCGTGGCGGTATCCAGGCTTGCAGTTTTGCTTCTCCATAGGAATGCCCTGAATCACACATGGGGGCGCCTAAACGTATGGGACACCAATTGTGGAGGGAACCAACCCCAAAAAAGGACCGACAAAAGCAGACGGGGCCCCGCATGGCTTCTTATCGCGAGATCACACAATCATATGCATTTTCCTCACGCGCCTGGTCCCGGAGGTACAACAAAACGACTCGCATGGATGTTGTACAGCCGCTGAAGCAAGATGTTGTTTTCGTCACGAGTCACACGTCGATATCTTGTCCTTGCAATCTATACTAATATCTGTAAGCTGCTGTCGGTACTTACTAAATGTTGAGATGTGAAGCGATTCAAAGGATCCCTGTATTTGACACCGGCTCTAGAAACCGGTGCTCAATTCCTGGCACATACACAGTCAACATTCCTTATACACATGAAATTCCGCCAGGCGCCCTTGCGGCGGCCTTGTTGGCACATGCAGTTCCATCTTTGTTCTGTGGCGATTGCTTCGGCATCTAGAGAGGGACCTTATATTCCAGGCTTGTAGGGATTACAAATGCTGCCTTGCTTGTTGCATTGAGTCAGCAGGCTTGACCCGCTTGAATTGGACTATCCCATCGTTTGCCTTTACCCCATTCATTTGTGTAACGGAGCTTCCAGTAAGCTTTGTATCATATTCGCTGCCTGCGGTATTTTCATGCATGGGTATGGGTGTATCGTTGTTTTCTTGCTGCGGCGCTTCTTACAGTTACCGCAAAACGGACGCAGGGAACCACCAGTTGGAGACAAGGGTGTCTCTTTTATTAGCCGTTTTGTGGTGCGTTTAAGGTAGAATCCCAAAAGGACACCAAGCATGTCTAGGTGGTTTGGCTATTTTCAGACCCTACAACCCCAAGGATGGGTTACACTCTAGGGACTCTAGGGGTTGATTCCCCATTCTTTTGAGCCATCGTTCTTTTCAAAAACCGATCGCCATTTCCCCTAAGTTTTGGGTGGTTGTCTAGAAAGATTCGGATCCCTGGAAAGAATGGAAAGAATGAAGTTGGGAGTTACCCCTAGATACACGAGCTCGACTCAGGCTTCGCGCCGATTGCTGGCAAGTGCTGGATCTCGAACCGGGCGCCAGCCGGGATGAGGTGAAGAAAGCGCCTCACCTAAGCACCGAAGCCGGCTGGGCCCTGACTCGCATGGACTGGTTTTCTAGCCTAGGTCCCCCAGCTAGGTGCCCTTTTACCCTTTTTTGGGGGAGGGTTCCCCTAATAAAATAGAGTACAGAAAAAAGGGTACCCTTATTCCAACCTCTCTACTGGAGGACCTAGTAGCATTCCCAGTGGATTCCAGCTGCCATTATAGTAGGTACCAGACATTCTCCCTTTGGCTTTTAAACCGTGGCAAGCCCTTGGTTGATTGCCTGCTATACAGGTAAATGCATCCACTAGGATTGGGGTCCTTTTGGTTGTTTTGGTAGAAAGATGGCGATTCCTGCTTGACCTGGTAAACCCTCTACCGGGGCCCTGGCTATTTTCAACCAAAAGGACACCTATGTTTCCGACTGGCTTCCATCTGAGTATACGGCTGACCGAGTTTTCCAGTGGCTTCCGCTCGGTTGCCTGCTGGTTTTTGGTTTGGTTCGGTTGCCAGCGGTTTGCGTGGTGTCTTGGGTTGGGTGGCTGCCTGGCTTTGCCAATGGCTCAATTCGGTTGTCGCATCTCTTCAGTGTGGGGGCTGGATCAATGATCAGCTCCTTGTTGCGGATTGATAGGCTGTACTCTTGCACCTTTCTTTGAAGGTGGCTTTGCTTCCAACTTAGGTCTTGGATGTTGATGCCTGCTTGTGAACCATTTTCCATATGAGCGTTTTGTTTCTAATTGACCTTCTTTGGGTGAAATGCGAGTTTTTGCTGATCGAAACGGAAACAACTACTGAAACAAGTGCCCATGGGAAGACCTATGACTTCACTTCGGGAGGGCTCGTTGCGGCATCACACTTTGAGCCACGCGACGGTGTCTGTGTATCTCGGAGAAAGCGTCAAGCAGTCAATGGCAATGCATCAACGGCGCTGACTGTGAGACTTTTGATTCCACTAGTACTCAGCCTAGTCGGGATTTGCTTGCGGTTCTTTTGGCACCGGCAAAACATGTACTATAGGTCCCCCAGCTAGGTGCCCTTTCTCACCCTTTTTGGGGGCTCTACTAAAGTAGACCACAGAAAAAGGGTGCCCTTATTCTAACCTCTCTACTGGAGGACCTAGTGTATTGAAGGCCCTGTGCCCGGGCGCTGAAACAGTTTTTTGAGTGGGCACAACGGGGTAAGCAAGTCTAGCTGCCTATCCGAGGCCGCATCCGTTTTCCGGACTCCAGTAGACATCCCCAACCACCGCCGATCTGGAGTATAGGGGTAGTTGTCTGTCTTTTCTTTTTCTTTCCCGGCCTCCCGAAAATGGTTGTCGTCCTCTTGGTTTCCTTTGAAAACCACCAGAAAGGGGGTACCCTCCAATAAAGTCGCCAGATCCATATTGATATTATATTACTACAAAAGCGGCCGCACCTCATTCTGGCAAGCATTTCCCTTATATACTCACCTTCAGCTACCCGGATAAACTGGATGGCTGCAAAATATTACATGGAGGGCGGTGGTATCTCCCGCTGAGCCCCCGCCAAACCCCCCCCAGCCCCCCGAGACCCCGAGAAGAATTCTTTCCGGAGGCTTTCCGCGCCAAGATCCGCACGGCCCACCCGGATGCCGGCGGCAGCGCGCAGCAGTTTGCGGAGGCGCGTGGCAGTCGAGAATCGGGGCCCAGGGAGGCCTTGGCAAATGGAAGGGACACAATGGACACATGGATCTCTTTTTTTTGCCTGGCTCATAGTTTCATGGTTCTTTTTTTGTTTTTTTGCTTTCTTTTGATTTGCTTGGTTCATGGACCATAAGATCTGCGGTTTGCTGAACCTTTGATTTTGATCCGCCACCTTTGGATCCAGAGGGGTGAACACGAGCCAGAAGCCAGCAATGGACAGGGTAGTTGATGTGCCACGTCAAGCCTCAGGTGCGCTCAGCCTACCAGGCGGCCCTTGCGGAAGCTGGCACCGGCGCCTCAAAAAGCGGCACCGGGAGCAGTGCAAAGCCTGGCTGGAGCATCCACGTGGCGTGGCCAGAGACGTCGGTGAACGTGAACTGACATGGCTTGGTCTGGGGGTGTCTTTTTCAGGTTGGACCCCCCAAATTGTTTTGGCTTCGGCTTTCTTTTTGGTTTCCCCTGAATCCCACCAAAAAACGAGATACCCTGCACAAAAACTGACGGACCCAGGCTCGGCCACAGGCGGTTTCATGAAATCCGGCTAGGAGCTGTGCTCGGGCCTGACTAACTGGCTGGTTTGCTGGCTGGTGTCGGGCCTGTGTTGTTCAGTGTCTATGCTTCTTGAGATGGCTGAATGCCAAGGAATGTTGATGCCTATCGGTTTGTTTGAGAGTGGGAGAGCGGGCCGCGTTTCTTGTTGGCTGCTTGAAAGCTCGCAGCCTGAACGGCTTGAGCTTCACGTCCTCAGCTTGAAGAATGCATTGGACGGGTCTTATGATCTTCATAAGCCTGATCTTGCTCTGAGACACAAGAGGATGGCCCCAGAGATTGCAGGTTGCGCTTCACATGTTTCCAAGCTGTTGATGGAAGAGTCCAAGATAAATTGGGGCTCAGTTGATGTTGGAACTTGTGATGCGCCACTTGTAAAGCACACGATCCAAGGGCTTGTCCTCTCGCGCGACAAAAACGCTACAAAGAGCTACCGGAGTCTGAGGACTTCTTCCGGTGGCGTCGGCAGCAAGTCCAGCAGGAGAAAGCGGAGTGGGAGCAGGAGATCCGTGGCCCTTGGCAAACGCAGTTTTGGGCGCTCGCTTGCAATTCAAACGCAGTTTCGGTTGTGGTACCCTTTTTGGGAATTTGGAAGGAACACCGAGAGGGAAACCGAGTCCATTTTGGGGGGCCAAGCTTACTAGCCAAAGATTCATGTACCCATTGTTCAGTTATCCCTTCCCGCATGGGAATTGTGCCATGTAACAACTCACCCTGTAAGGATTTCGGCGGTTGCAGACAGCTGTGGTTGCAAATTGCAGAGATCTTGGCGTCTCAGGGTAGTTTTGGCATTCATTCAGCGGCAACTGCAGAGCCATGGTGGGGGTGGTATCATGAGATGCTTTGCAGCCGGATGTGAAGAGGCCGTATGTTGGACATCGGCTGCTGGGCTCCTTCTGAAAACTTCTAAGACATCTTCCCACCATTAGAACTACTACTTGTAACAGTAGCGCTTTCCCGCATCAAAACACTGACCAGGTTTGGGTATGCCTGGCAGACGATGGCATATGTCATCACTTTGAACTGTAATCCAGGAGGTGTTTGAATTGTTGGAGCGTCAACCTAGTGTCCAGCTGCCATACACTCAAAGCCTGAATCGCAAATCAACCCTGAGCACAGCGGCGCCTGTGAGTTTAGCGATCACATCTTCGCCAGTAGCCTCTAATTCCCGTTTTGTGTGGTGGGCCGCGCTTTGAAGAACGATTTGTCCGAAGAGGGTGTCCTTTTAGCCATTCGGTCAGTTGCAACTGGTCACAGTTTGGGCAACCAGAAGCCGGACCTGGCCTGACACCGACGGAGGCAAGCCCTTGGTTACCCAGTATTCCGGTAAATGGATCATCGATCCACTGGGTTTCCCAAGGCAAACTTTAAGAAGGCTAGGTTCCCCAGTAGTGCCCTTCCCTCCCCTTGTTTGGTTGGGAGGGTTCCCCTACTCAAGTAGACTACAGAAAAAAGTTGGCACCCTTATTCTAACCTCTTTGCTGGAGGACCTAAGTATTGTTGGCGTAGGAGTCGATGTGGATTGATATTTTGGTAGCAGAGCTTGCGCGCCTTACCTGCTTGTTTCAACAGGAAAACGCTGTCCATGGCGTCAGACCAAAACGAAGGGGACATCCGTACCTCCACCAAACACGTCCGGAGAATCTTGCTCCAGGAGAATCTCTTGCTGCTCGAATACTGTCATGTGTGACCCTCTCGGCCTGGCTCAATATGGAATGGCAGGAGTTACTTCAAATCACGGTTGTGGGATCACTCGGGGTTTGTCCCTACTGTGATACTTTTGGGAATCTCCCCCTTCATATGGGGGCCGTTAGTCTTTGGGAAGCCCTTGCTGTTGTATCACAGAAGTGGATTCCATTTCCCGAAGCCCTGCTTGTCCAATGGCAACTCTGTCGAATGTTTGCTTCAGCCAGCATCGCATGTGAAAGGGCTGGGTGACGGTCGGTGTTTCCTACGACCGGGAGCCCCTTTCTCATTTCACGGCGTAGCACCCAAGTTGAAATCAAAGCTTTGGCTGACCAGAAGCAAACCGGAGTTGTCAACAAGCGTTGCCAAGAGTCTTCGGCCTGTGGATTTGCCCCGGATTGCTGCGCGCAACGTTTCCCTGCACCCAGCCCTCAAAGATAGCCCACTGATAGCAAAGTGTTCGTGTTTCCCTTGCTTGCCTTTCATGAGGTGACCGATACTCGAAGTAAGCCTGTGCAGCTGTAGGCTGCCAGCGCAGGATGCCAACTTTCAGAATCATTGGTGGGCCTCTGCTGAGCAGCGGCAGCAGCAGAAGCAGCAGGCGCAGTCCATTGATGAGGCGGATTTGGGCGACTGAACAGTTGCCCTGATCACTTTTGGGCGGACGTGTTGGCCGATGCTACAACATGATTTGGGCTGCATTCCGACAGACACTGAACGTTTGGCGGCACTTGGCACCCAAGATTGCAACCATGTGGCCGTGTGTGCCTTTGACACAGGGTAATTATTCAATTCCCCCTTTTCAGTTTTGTTGAAACGAAAACCAGGACATCCACCAGTTTTTAGCGTCCCCCTCTTTCGACACACGTATCCATCTCTGGGTTGAAGGCCTCATAGACATAGATGGGCACCTGCAGTAGGCCACTTCCGCATATTGATCCGCCGACTGATAGCTTTGAAAAACCTTGGTGATAGATAATAGATGCCTCTTCAGTGCATGTGCAGAAGTGCATAAGTTTGCTTTAGCAGCGTTTTCTGCACTTGGTTTGGGACACATTCCGGAGAAGCTTATGTATTATGCAGAGTGCGTAGAGGAAAAGCATGCATTTGCAAAGGTTCGCATCGCCTGCCGTGTTCGCAACATGTGAACCTAAGCCCCAGTGGTCAAGCTCGCATACTTCGGCTGGCCCTTCTCGGTAATTGCAATTGCGCGCTGGCCTTTGCAATCATTTGCAAAGGCACGTTGGGTTCGCAATTGTTCACATGCACTTGTGGGCTTTGCTGACATTTGCCAACCACTTCTGATGAGCTGCATCTGTATTCCGTCAAAATCCTTTATTGGAGCACATCAAGGGAAAGAATGCCGGGGCCCCTCAATTTTGCAACATGTTTACCGGCCTCTACCCTTCCTCCCACTCAGATGACACCCAGGCCCTTCAGCAGGAATTGCTTCAGAGAGTGTAGCTGAACATGGAACCCAAGTACCTTTTTTTTGATGAGCCCCATTTGGGGCACCCCTTTCTTGCTGACTAGTTGCTTGGATCTTTGGACTGAGCAACTTTTTAGCCCACCAACAGGCATTCACTTCTGCAGATAGGCCGTTGCAGCAACCAAGCTTTGTTGGGGCTTGGGCACCCGTTTTTGGGTTGTCTATTCAACGCAAACATTGGGTTCGTGGGTTTGTAGAAAAGCCCAAACTGTTTGGGTCGCACATTCTGCAAGTTCTGACTTGGATCCAGGAGCAGCAGACGAAGCCCCAGGGCCGCCGCGCGAGAGAAGGCGCCACCTGGAAGCGAAGACCCAGGTGCGGAATCACAGGTTCGGTATAAGCGAAAGCCATGAGAAAGGTCCTTTTCTTGGGGATCCAGTTTTTAACTCAGCTTCTGGATTTAGAGCAAAATTTTCAGATGTCAATGAGTTTTTTCGGGGTTTATAGCCCCCTCTCTTTGGCGCAGAACAAACAGGATCATATTAGTGGTGACCCCAGATTGACAGTATTCCCAAAATGAAACACTGGGTCAACAAGGGGCAGTCCCAACCGTCAATCAGTGCGACCGCCTTTTGAGTCTTTGGCTTTGGGAAGAGTCCTTGACTGCCATTTGATTGTGACTCACTGTAGATTCAGCAAGTGTCCGTCCCACTTTTGTTATGCGCTTTTGTGGAAGTACTCCCATGAATCAACTCGTCTATTTCTGGCTTGAAGAACCCGATCTGTTAATTCCAAAAGTGAGAAGGCCTGAGTTGAGGGCGCTACTTTTTCCTAACATCTTGCAAGTGCAAACAGCGCAACCCTGTCATTTATAGCGACTAGGTCCCCCAGTAGTGCCCTTTTACCCTTTTTTGGGGGAGGGTTGCCCTACTAAAATTGAAGCTAGAAAACGTTGGTGCCCTTATTCTAACACTCGGATCAATGGGCTCAACTTGCGGCAGGACGGTCGAGGCTCCACAGCCGAGCTTCCAGGAGGACGAGTCGGTGCAGGAGTGGAACACCTTCCTGTCACAGCGCCCCTCGGATCCCATGCGCATGCGGGCTCAGACCAACAAATTGGGGGAAGCTCAAAAGACCACGGAGTCTATTTTGGCGACGTTTTTACCTTGACTGCTATTGGGTTGGATCTTAGACTTGAACTTTTTGGTTGAAATCAAGTTGGTTTTTCCACTAAACCCCCAAATAGTTAAACTTTTTGCAGGGGGGTCAACAGCAACCAAGTTACCATTGCACAAGCCGTTTTGCGTTCTTGCAGACACAAAGCAACAGTTCCGACCAAGTCCTTCAGGGATCGTTTGGAAGAGATCCCACTCTTCAGCACAACCCTTTGGCTTGCTGCACGGGTATTCCTGATATGTGAAGCATGTCCTGTGCTTTCGCAATGTGGCTTGTTGTTGCGTGCTTGGTTGCTTGATTGCTTGGTTGCTTGGTTGCTTGGGTTGGTTGCTTGCTTGCTTGCTTGGTTGGTTGGTTGCTCGCTCGCTCGCTCGCTCGCTCGCTCGCTCGCTTGCTTGCTTGCTTGCTTGCTGTTTTGTTGTCTTGCCTCTTTGCTTCTGTGCGTGATACGGATTTGCTTATCATGGTTTCCCTACTGGACACGGTTTCCGTTGCGTGTGTTCCCTGTTCGAGATGAGAGTGGGACTATTTGGAAGCCTTTTCGCGGATATATGGGTCTGTCAAACCTACCATGCATGCACCCACTGCCAGCCTTCTTTCGATGTGCTTAGCCATTGTTTCAGCCGGCATGAAATGCCAAAGGATTTCAGTATATATGCATGATACCGGACATGTCCACTGATTGCTGACATACTTTGTGACTGAGACCCGGCTTATGCCCGGACTGTGACCCCATGTCGGGTGATAGGCCAATAGGGGCTTAAATTCTAACCTGGCAAGCGGAACACCTGCCGTCCCCTGCCTCTTGATTTTTTAGCCACGCCCATTTGGCTGTGGGTCAAAACCAATGGTACCATTTTGGGTTAGGTGCACCACCCATTTTTGCCTATTTGAGTGGGGATTGGGATGTTCACTGGTACGGGATTTGACCCACAGCCATTTATGTTCGAATTTAGATGAGTCTATGTGGTCCAACTGAGCCCTCCCCCGCCATGTGGGTGTAGCCCCACGCGCTGGCCGAGGCGACAAGCCCAAAGCCCAGGCGCCGAAGAAGATGCCGCGGCGCAAGGACCCAGCGCCCTGGCGGCTTTTCTGCTGCTGACCTGCGGCCGATTTTTGGCCTCGTCCGTCGGCAAAATTGGCTCAAAGCCAACCTTGGCCGTAAAAGCAAAAATAAACACATCGATGTTCCTTTTGCTTGTGCAAAGCCAACCTTGGCCCTAGAAGCAACACACAACTCCATGTTCCTTTGGTTTGTGGTGAGGATCTGCGATTCGAGTGGGGCACAAAATCAGGAGAAGCCAGGTTTGGGCAGGAGCCAGGGACTTCTCATGGAATTGCGATGTGGAACTCAGACGCATGGACTGGGTCCTGGTCGGACCTCATGGCTTGTGGCTCGCTGCCTTTTGGCGCTTGAGGCACACATGGAAGCAAACCGAGTTCTAGTTTTCTGGACAGTTTTGTCCATGTCCGCCAGGGGCCAAGGCTTCCATGACACCTCAAAACTCATGGCACACTTATTTGCGTGTCGCGCGGGGTCTTGCAGGTCACGGTTTCACTGAAGAGTCTTTTCTTGAGTGCCCGAAGCTTAGCGTGCTTGTTTGGTGGTTCGCTACTGCAGGAGTGTGTGTGTGTGGCTTTTTCAATATGGGTATGGGTCAAGATTAGTCACCACCAGGAATTGGACCACAGGTTTTAGTTCCATGTTTCCATTTCCCAGGGCAAGCCATTTTGGGGTTGCCCTCTTTTAGACAACCACAGCCATATGCCTCTCTGTTTGTTGCCTGGTGGGCTATTGCCCTCTGCCGATGCCGCCATGCCCCGCCATGTCCCGATACATTGCACCTTGTATCCAGGGGATTCGAGCACCTTTGCTTGGGCCCAAAGGCAACTAGGTCCCCCAGTAGTGCCCTTCTCTCCCCTTTTTTGGGGGAGGGTTCCCCTACTAAAATAGACTACAGGAAAAAGGGTACCCTTATTCTAACCTCTCTACTGGAGGACCTAGGCAACGCAAGTGGCCGTATGTCAAGACTACCACCTTTTTGGTTCAGTATCGAGGGGAACCAGTGTTACAAGCCATTGAAGTGTTGACTTGGTGCAATAGAAGACTATGTCCCCCTATTTCTGGGCAAGCCCATGTTGGGATAAGTGACCCCAAAGTATGTATTACGCGTTGCGTGGAAAATACAAGCACCGCTTGTGTTGAGATCGTTTCTTGGTTTGAGACGCATGTTCCTAGTGTTTGGATGAACGGGACAAGCATACGTACTGCACTGGCCTACTGGCCATAAACGTTCAGAGGGACCCCCCATCGCAAATTGGTACACATGGCCCCCGCGATGCGATGGCCACCATTTCGGGTCCCCATTCTTAAACAAAAAAGATACCCCAACCCGTGGCATGGTCCAAAAAGATTTCGTGCCATGGTCCAAAAATATTCGCTCGTGTGTTTCGTTGTTTTGGAGTCAACCCCGAAATTTTGGTCCCAAGCATTCCGTTGTTTTTTGTTGTTTCCGGAACCCCGTGGCCATGGCCCCCAGCCAATTGGGTCTGGCGTTTCTTTTTGGGCGTTGGGTACCCTTTTTGGAAGCGTCTTAAAGGGAAACCAACAGGAAGCCGACGCCTTTGGGGAGGTCCAACCTTAGAAAAAGACGAGCCAAGCCACCTTTTTTTTGGGGGGGGGGTCCGATTCCTTGAAAAAGATGAGCCACTCGTACTGTGGATGGACGAAATCCGTTCGCACCACCTAAGAAACCATGATTGAACCCACGGTTTGTTGGTATTTGCAGGGAATCGGACCATGGGCTTCTTGGGTGCAGTAGGTGCCGCAGGTTTTCTGACGGTGTTCTCCAATCGTCTCAGGTGATTACACACCGTGCCATCGCCACAAAGGAAGGCCGGACGACATTTTGCCCGCCACGACCGAAACCACCCCCACCCCAGCCCCCCCCCCCCGGGCGCGGAGTTCTCGGTCTCAGGCCAGGTGAATGCATCTTGTGGGATACCACAATCTATGTCAGTATATATAATATACTGCCTACATGGATTGTGGCGGGATTGCAGAAGATATACTGGAACTACCAACATTTGAGCCATGAGGGGATGATTAAAAGGGAAATTCCAAGCGAAGGCACCCTTCGCAGAGACAAAAACATGCTTCGCGAGCTGGTTGGTAGTTGGGTTTTTTGTTTGCGGTCTTGCCAGCTGTCAATATTGACCCCTGATTAGAGAATGGTTTTGGGGGGTGTTGCCCACAAGAATGAACGAGCTCTTCTGAATTGGATGTCTATTGGTTATGATTAAGCTCGAGTTCTGCTCCGTCCACGCGTTGATGGAGAATCCAGGAGGCTCTTGTCAATATTTGCCATGTTCATAGCAAGTAGTCCTTCCCGGTTGATTAGACATGCCCAGAAGTGTCATCGGATCACCACACGTTTGAGCTCCGTTCACCACACGTCGGTTATATACGTATTCATGAACTTGCATGATTGAGTGGAGGTGGTCACCAGGATTCGGCGGGACCAGCGCTGTCGGGAACCAACACTATACATGCGCAATACAACTTGTGCTGAGTTGAGCCGCTTCTAGATTCTTTGAATCAAATGCATCGTGGCGTGCATGCGTTGATCATGCGGAGCCGCTGAAGCAAAGTCACAGCCACGCCACGCCTTTTTGCCAAGCGTCCTCTGACTGAGCGCCGTCCGTCATGAACATCAGCCCACTGGTTCAGCAAGCCGCTGGAAAACTGCAGGTACCCTTAGCGGGAGTCATTTCGAAATTCAAAGCGGCCAGCTCAGGCATGCCGGAACATGCCTCAGACCGATCAATGTATCAAATGGACCTTTTGTTGGGCAGCCCCTTCTAGAGGCCAACAGACCTTCATTATTCCTCACTGAGATTCTGATGGGTTTGTATCAAGACCAAGGACTCCCAACGGGGCTTCTAGGCACGGACGAAGCAAACTCGCGACGCCAGGCGATATGCGGGTGCCAGTGTACCGCTCCAAGAATGGGCGCTGCTACTATGTGTCGCCACTGACTCACAAGGAGGTCACGGTTCCCTCAGTGCTCTCGTAGCCTGAAAAAGCTGGGAGGGAACGTCTCAGTCTCGCTTGACACAGGTGCCCTGAAAGCACACAAAGACTCTTGGACCTTTTCGTTTGGGGGGGTTTATTATGAGAAATGCGTGAATCACCAGGGTGTTGAATGTCTGTTTCGAGTTCGTGCTGTTCCTGTCAGGCCCCGGAGTCTGTGGAATTGCCAGTTGCCGGTTTGTTTCCTTTTGATCAATCGTGTAGTCTGAAAATTGGTGGCTGTGCCAGATCACGTGCTTGGGCCTGCTTTTCATGGCTGCGGATCACAGATCTAAACCATTGCCACGCGCCCTTTCAGCAAGCGCTGTGCTCAGCAAGCATGTCATTAGGAAAATGCCTCGTAGAATTGGGGCGTGATCCTCAGCATGAGACGTTGTTGAGTTCCCTTTTTGGGACGCATGGCAGGTCAGGACAGGCTGGTTTCATCATCGCTTGGAACTGTCGCCTCGCTAGGGAGGCATGCTTTTGCGATCACCGCAAGCAACTGGCACAAGTGAGCAGCGATCAAAAATGCCATGAGGAAACTCAGCGGTCCACTTCGCCAAGAAGCTCAACACCTTAAGCTTTCTTTCTGGCAGCCGAGAAGCTAAAAAACACGTCCATAGTGGTTGTTGGGACACAATTTTTCATGATTGGTTCTTGTGGTTTCGTGTGACATCCAACCACTTAGCTGCTTTTTTTGTTTTGCTTTCCTTCCATCGTCAACGTCAAGCGTCAGCCTGTCCCATTCTGATGAAGCCTTCGCACTTGCGGTTTCTTGAGCCATGCTAACCTTACCCCGAAAGGCGCGGCACGCGTCCATTGGAGGGTAAGGGTCCGTTGCCCTTATCCTCGGAATACCTGCATCCGAAAAGGGTGCGCGGCACCTGAGACCCAGACCCCCCACAAAACCATCCGAAAAGGGTGGGATGCAGTTGGGTGAAAGTTCGGACCAGTTCCATGAGTCATCCCCTTTTGCCGTGGCGGTACTTCATGAACAAAGGTGGTTATCGGGAGAATGGCCCTTCAGGCAGCAGCATTGCTCCCCTTCACCATTTCAGAAGTTGTCAGTTAGCTACATGGGTATGGGTCAAAATTATCCCACCAGAAAAACCGCAGGTTTTAGTCTTTGCTTCCATTTACCAGGGCAAACCATTTTGGGGTTACCAACTATTTTTGACCACCACAGCCACACGACTCTACCTTGAGTTTCCAGGATGCTTCAGTCGCAAGAATCTTTCAAGACCCGTGTGCCACCAAGATGGTTTGCAGAGCTCCAGTCGTCCGAGCCATGGGTACCTTGATTGGTGGATACTTTGTTTGTGAAAAGACATGACATGTTCCATGGACGGGCGCGATCCAAGACGTTGAACTGTTTCACGTGACCATCACAATCTCAAGCACCTTTTTCGATTGCTTGTGACGCGCGTGTGAGAACCGTTCAGCTTCTTGGGAGCCTCAACTGTTTCCAGCTGGCAAGTTAGAACTAGTTGCCTTGCCTCCAATCGTTCTGGACAAGTTATGCCGAGCCTGGGGATAACACGATCTCACCCACTCACCCAGCAAAAAAATGCGCATTTGGCAAAGGTCAACTCTGGCACCTGTACCAAACAGGCGGAACCTTTCCGGGCCTAAGACAAAATCTTCAGGGATTAACTCTCATAGCCCAGTCGGCTTCAACATGTGGGTATGGGTCAGAAAGAAGCCAATCTGGACTGCAGAGTTTAGTCCTTGTTTCCACTACGAGGGTTCCATTTTGGGCTACCTATTTTGACCCACGGCCATACTGTGTGAACGTTGTCTTCAGGTTTTTGGAACACAGCTTGGCACTTGATCAAGTCATTGCAAAAGAGACTTGAACATGCCCTTGCCAATCAGTTTGTTTACTTGTGGTAGGCATTTTTCTCAGTCACGTACACATGCACACGATTCTCCTTCAACACTGACAGCCTCCGGTTTGTACGTGCTTTGTTCTGGGCTTCTTACCGGATGACCTGCAACAAGACTTCTTGGCACCACATACCTCAGACAGCCTCAGTCAGGTTCACCTCCGCTGAGAAGGGCCAACAGGGTCGATCAAAGTGAACTCGTTGAAAGGTTTTCAAAATTGCTTGGAGAGGCGGTTGCCATTCAAACCACGAGGATGATCGTTGATGCCACTTTCCGTAGCGGACCTGGAACTGTTCTGGTTGAGTTCAGAGTCAGCGTGACAGCTGCAGGTGGCGAGGAGGCACGGGGGAGGCTGAGTGAGGGAGATTGACACGCGCATGCAATGAGTCAAGCAAAACTCGGATTTCTTGTGAAACGATGATACCTGTGATCCGAGTTCTCATATTTGAGGCCCAAGATTCAACCTATTGAGAAGTTGAGTTGCTGAAAAAACAATGCGGGTACAGCAACAAACAGCAACAACCAACTGGCTCTTCAGAACTTGTGGATCTTGCCTTCGCCCAAGTAGCCTCCTTTTCGTCCTGGCTCTCCCGCTACTGCCTCACCTATAAAGCTCCTTCCTTCGCAGGAGCCTCTTCTTGCTCAAGAAGCTTCACTGCAGAGCCAAGATCTCAGCTGGGGTCTCCAAAACAAAGAGTTAGGTTTCAAGGTAGACAAAATATATGAAACGATGTTTCAGGACATGTTATTGTTGGAACCCAGGTCCAGGTGTGGGCCAAGGAAGCATTCACCTTCGTGCTCGACGACGGTCAACGTGCTTGGCCTATCCACGAACGTGAGTTGGAGCTCACCTGCAACTAAATTTGCGATGAAGGCCCTTCTTGGGAATCCGTTTTCCCGCAGCTTTGGAATTCTTGTAAATGGAGAGGCAGATGTGACTTGTTTCTCCCTCATGTGAAACCTGAGGGGCGCGCATGGCCTCTGGAGCCGAATATGTCGACATTCCCGATGTTAGGTGTAAGGGCCGAAAAGGGTTGCGCGTATCGGCCCAAAACAAGCCAGAGCTGGAGCGGCCGTACTGTTGGGCTGTCTTAAACAGAGCCACCAGCGCTCGAAGAGGTGTTCACCGCGTGAGTTCAGCAGATGTTTGTCATGTTCACGTAAGAACATAGTTTGCATGTAGGAATTGAACCGCGCAAACTAAACAACACAAACACGCACATCTCCCCATGATGTGTGCAGAGTTCGGTAGCCTGGCCCAGAGTGGTGCATAGAGTCCAGGTTCCTCAATCCCTGAGTAGGTGCAAGACGAGCTCACAATTGTTTGAGGGAGAGAGAAAAATATATAAAGATGTAGGAATGGAGACAGAAAGAGAAAGTTGAATAACACGGACAATCATACAAAGACAAGATACCACCGCCGATGTCGCATTGACACACGCTGTCTTGATGAATGCATGGCCTATGCTCAAGTTGCTTGTACAGTTGATCAGGGTGGGTTTCGTTCCCAGACGCCCGCCTTTTGCCCAAAGAACCGGCGACGGACGGTCGGAGTCTTGGCTTTGGGGCTCCAGCGCCGATGTTCCACGAGCACGTGCTGAGACCTCGGAGCATTGAATCAGATCAGGCAGATGGATCTCATTCAAGAAAGTCAAACATCCCCCAGGGCAACCCCGTGCATTTTGGAATTTAGGCATTTTCAGGCCATAGTCAAATTTAGAATCCCTGAGGGTGTTCCCATCCCAACTCTGTCCAATCACCACTAAAAACATCGGCCTCTACGCGATTCCGAAGGAGGAGTCTTATGAATTGACCGAATCGATTCATGTTGCCAATTCTGTTTCATCTCAGTTTCGCGAGACGTGCCTTCTTGTGAATTAGTGCAGCCAATGGCTTTAATCTTGGTTTCCTCCCTCTGAGGTTCTCAGGACTCCTCCGGGAGCCCCTAAGAAGGTACGTGGCCCAGTTTTTTTTTTTCCCTTGGGTGCTCACCGGCCCAAAATGGTTAACTCCCCAAAAGGAACCCAAACGGGCATGAGGTAATTCTTAGTTTTCTGTTCAGACCCCTCAATTTCCCACGCATGCGCTTGGGGCTTCTGGATGACGCGAGCCTCCGGGAGATTTGCATCTTCGGGCCGGCGGCCGTCGCCCACTGGAGGACGAAGCTCTTTGGGCGAGGCGGGCGCACCGTGCCGGCGGACCCTTTAAACCGTGCCCGCGAAACAGGGCTCCTTAAAAGATACATTTTGCAACCATTTGAAACATGTGGCTTTTTCCACATAAAGAGAAACCACCGTTAACAAGGCAATTTTCAGGTGTATAATGTAAGGATGCCCTGCAATAGTGCAATTTGTTGCAACCCTCGACTGGCAGCCGTGGGACGTGGTAAACATGGTGCAAGCTCTAGAGATTTGCGTTGTTATCAAGCGCAAGCGCAAGGCACCTTAGCCACTGCACGTAGCAAACATGTTGGAATTGCAAAAGGAACCCAGCTAAAAAAAAACAATGCCAAAGAGTACAGTTGCGAGGATCCTGGTGCAATCAAGCTAAAAGCATCACATCTTCATGTGGGCAGCCATGGCGGTAAGTTCGAAGCAGCAGAACATGTGGAAGTGGATGGACGATGGCTTCTACACTGGCCATAGTCAATTTCTCGCATGAAGAGACATCATGTGGCGTCTCTCTCTCTCTCTCTCTCTCGCGCTCTCTGTGTGCTCTCTCTCTCTCTCTGTGTGTGTGTGCATGAGCGCGTGTGTTTGAGGGCGATGCCTGCGGCCAAATATTTACGTGCGTGCGCAACTATCAATATGTATGAAAACCATCCCCCTTGCTGACAAACGGACAACCGTGCCAATGTCGGGTCAAACCAGCGATGTGGTAAAAACCGCACTTTTGCGGGCAAGGTTAAGGGTCCGTCAGCGTAAACATGGGTGGGTGGGATATGGGTTGGGCATGGGCGGGGTTTGGCGAGTTTGATGCAGGGGTTTTCGAAAAGTTGGGAGGGGGGGCGGGGGCTTGAGGGGGGGGGGTGTAAACATGGGTGGGGTTTTGACCAGCTTTTTTTGGATTAGGGCGCCCTAAACATGGGTCCAGGGAAGCCCGCTTGATCAGGGAAGAGGGGGTGTGATCTAATCAAACCTTCTTGGGGTCCCATTGCAAGGAAGCACCCAAACATGTGCCTTTTTTGGTCAGATACGAGGATTGCCCCCTTTTTTTCAGGGCGGAAAACGGGTAACTCAGCTGGGCTGGTTTCAGCACATCGAGACCATTGGTTGGCTTCCCACTTGACAAGCGACCGACATGAACTCCCCCTGCCCCATCAGCACCGACGCATGGGCTTGGGAAATTGAAAAGCAGTCCCACTTTTGATTTGGAGATGGCACTTGCACGCTCCAAGTTCCTTGGAACAAATTGCCGATGGTAGGATGGAGCTTGGGGTTGTTCAGGTTCATGCCACTCCCGCCAATCTCCCAGTCAAACTACATGGCTAGAGCGCCGCAAGGAGCCTGGTACGAAATGACCGCGCGCAGGGGCTTTTTCATCACTTTCCAAAACTACTTCCCGGAGCAGTCCAAGAGAGCATCATGACACAAAGAGGCATTGCAATGCCACGCCCATTGCATGCGTCGGAGACGTAGCCTGTCATTCACAACATCTTCGCCATTTGCATGGGCTTTCTTGCGGCTCTGAATTGAAACAAAGCCTGTCAGGCTTTTCCGCTCAGCATCAAGACACCGAGTTCCGCCCCTGGGTTTCTTGAGCTTGCAGTGCAGTTCTTTCGCGTACTCTCTGTTCTGGAATCCTGAAAGACCTGCCAGCAGCCTCCACGCGCAAGCTCCATCTGCATACAGAGCTGTAGTGTTCCATATTCATGGGCTTGGTGCCTAGCAATCTTCAACAGCAGAGATGGAATGGCGCCGAACCAAACAGGTGTAGAGCTGCATTTCAAGTGGGCGTACTGTAGCAAACATGCAGAACGGCGTGGCTTTTTCTTATCATTCTGGTGGTGGGTGCATTGCACCTTTTGCCACCCAGGCCCAACGCAGAGCAGAAGATGCCCCCATTTGGACTTTTGAGAAACAAAGAGTCATACCCCAGAGAGCCACACGTGGCTTAGAGACTCTTTGGCCTCTTGTTTGGAAAGCTGAAGTCACAGACCAACGAGAGAAATCACACAGACTGGCTTTTGCGATGGACATATTTTCCAGGGAGGTCAAAAGGCGCAGTCCGCAGGTGCTCCTGCAGCAAGGCCTGCCGCTGCCCTCCTTGGCTTTGCCGCCTGCTTGGCGCTTCGCGGCCTCGTCGCCAGGCGGGGAGGGCTGGCATTGAAGCCATAGTCGGAACCAGAACGTTTGTTGGCATGTACTCAGAGAGCCCTGAACAGGGGGGTTGGGATTTAAGGCAGTTGCAGGCAGAAACAAAACGGCCCAAAGCAGCCCGATAAGCCCGATGTGCCGAGAGGTGTGCGCCACCCGAAAATTCAAAGCCACCCGGGGTTGCCAGGGAAACACCCCGTTTGCGGATCCCCCGTTGAGGGGCGCCAAGTTTACAGGGGAATCATTGGGGTCTCTTAGTGGACATACATTTGTAGCAAAGATGACATGGGTGGTATTTTTGTTTGTTGTGTTGAGATGCTTCAAAAGGCAGAAGGTGGGACTCTGGGACCTTGGCAGATCATAGCCCCGAATCATGCCCCGAATCATGCCCCTCGTGTGCTGCAAGATGCTACTTTTCTTTACAGTTTGTGTTGTTGACTGTCTCCGCAACAACCGCCACCAGCGCAACCTCCTACCAATACTGTTGCCGCTACACACTCCTACTGCTGCTCCTCCTACTACTACTCCTCCTCCTACTACTACTACTACTATCACCACCACCACTACTACTACCTTCTTCTACTACTAACTACCACTACTTCTACATTCATTTTTGAGTTTGTAATCAATTCCGTTTTGCAACTAGCCAAATCATACCCGAATCCTTCCCCGGACAATGAGCTCCCCTTGCAAAGGCTAGTGCCAACCATTACTTCTCCTGGTACTACTACTACTACTGCTCCTACTACTACTACTACTACTAATACTACTCCTACTGCTATTGCTACTGCTAGTCCTACAACTACTGCTACTACTACTACCACCACTACTACACTCATCGTTCTGGGTTTGCAACCGCAACAAGCCGAATCATACCCGCGAATCATACCCGAATCAAACCCCTGCAAAGGCTAGTGCCAAGACTTTTGCAAGGCTTCCGCACGCTGCTGCTCTTGCTACTACTACTGCTACGGCCAGCACTTGTGGTTTGCCCGGAGACTCTCTTCCCGGGGGCGTCACACGCTCAGATTCCCTCGCGCCTGCCAGCGTTTTAGCACCCGCGCCTGATATCGAGCGGTCGGCCCTTAGAACACTGGCTAGCCTTCGCCGACGCGCGCAACTGCGCAGGGTGCGGCTTCTCGCTGTTCGCTATGTTCATTTTTTGGGACTATCCTAGGCTCAGCCAGAAATTAAAAGGTGACAAATGAAGCTCTCCACGCCCTAAAGTGAGAAGTTGAGGGCAAGTCAAACCCCAAAACCATACCGTAAACGGGTGTTTGGGGGCAAGTTAAACCCCAAACCTGAACCCTAAATGAGGGCAAGTTAAACCCCAAAACCAAACTCTAAACGGGGGGTTTAAGGGCAAGTTAAACCCTAAACCTGAACCCTAAACGGGGGATTGAGGGCAAGTTAAACCCCAAACCGAAACCCTAAATGGGTGGTTTGAGGGCAAGAAAAATCCATAAACCTGAGCCCTAAACCTGAACCCTAAAGTGGTGGTTTCAGGGCAAGTTAAACCCTAAACAAACGGGTGGATTGAAACCTAAACCCTAAACCTGAACCCTAAACGGGGCAAGTTACACCTAAGGCTGGCATGAGGCCAGAAAGTGGAACAAGGTGGTTCTGGGCGAACCAAACGTGCTGTGGGTACTGCTACTGCTTCTACTGCTTCTACTACTACTACTACTACTACTACTACTACTACTACTACTACTACTACTACTACTACGACTACCACTACAACTACTACTACAACAACAACAACAACTACTACTGCTACTGCTACTACTAAGTAGACTACCGCTACTGCTATTGTTACTGCTACTACTTCTGCTGCGGCTGCTGCTACTACTACTGTAGTCAGTTCCGTTTTGCAACTAGCCGAATCATACCCATGAACCATAACCGAATCATACCCGGACAGTGAGCTTCCCTTGCAATGGCTAGTGCCAAGTCTATTACAAAGCTTCCGCACCACTACTTCTGCCGCTACTGCTACTACTACTAATACTACTCCGACTGCTACTGCTACTGCTTGGAATACTACTACTACTACTACTACTACTACTACTACTACTACTACTACTACTACTACTACTACTACTACTACTACTACTACTACTATACTACTACTACTACTACTACTACTACTACTACTACTACTACTCCTACAACTAGGAGGGGAAGACAAAAAGAACGTAGCATACATGTTTCATATCCTGCTTATATAGAGTGGGTGTGTATGTCCGTAGGGTTACGGGTGTGGCCCATGTGACATTTCCAAAATGATCGGCGGTGGATTGACCGTCAATCAGCGCAACTAGCTGATAGACAGAAAATCTGCTTCATTGCTGTCCAAGCGCATGACACTCAACCAATTTATGTGTCTCCATCACTGCCAACTATGAATATCTGGGCCGGTGACAGGATAGTGCCCAATGATCTTAGCAGGTAGCACCTTAGCTATGGAGAAACGGCAGCTTGCTGCCAGCTGACGATTGGACAGAAAGGTGCCTGAGCCCTTGGAACTTTTGATTCACAGTTTGCTGCGCCGAAGGCAACAAGGGCTGCTTGGACTCATTACTTGTAGACAAAGCCCACAGCACTTGACGGCCTCCGACCAGGAGGGAAGCATCCTCGGCAAGCTGCTTGTGCGCGTTCTTTTCTCGCGGCGCTCGGACGCAGCTGCGATGACCGTTTTCGATGTGGTGCCACACGCCGCTTGGCGTGAAGCATGTCAGACAATTTTGCGTGCCAAACCTCACGTGTTTTTTTGGGTATAGCAGGGGAGCTCTGTGAGGACATGGCAAGCAGCATTGTTGAAACCGACTTGGGTTTGGCATTTGTTGAAGCTCGGTGCTCTTCTTGTTTGAGGGGAATGCAATCTAGTATTGGGCCAAAACTACATTAGTATTGGGCGCAGACCGTTCGCATGAAATTAACGACGGTTTGCATCAAGAACGATAATGGGATTATAGACTTTTTGGGGTCAGCGGGAGCCCCTCCTAAACCAACCTACTGGAACTTAAAACCCTGCCCTAAACCCACCCTAAACCAACCTGAAACGCAGCCTAATTATCCCACTCTAAACCCATCAAGCGAGAAGGCAAGCAAGCACGCCTAAACCAACCTTAGACCCGCCCTGAACACTAACTTAAAATTCATCATCAAACCAACCCTGCCACCCTACCCGCACCTTTTGAACCAACCGTAAACCTACCCCCCTTTAAATCCATCCTAAAGGCTTTAAACCCATCCTAAAGCGAGGTAAACCCCTGCCCCTTAAACCACACCCTGACCCAAAATAAGCCAACCTTAAACCCACCCTGTCTTAAACCTACATCCCTTCTAAACCCATCCTTTAACCCGCTCTGAGTCCACCCTAAACCCACCCGACATCCTACCCTAAGCCGCTTTACAACCATCCTAAAACCAATCCTAAACATTCCGTAAACTAATCCTAACCCACCCTAAATACACCAACTTTAAACCAACCCGAAACCTGTGCCATTCCCACCCCGAACCCATCTTAAACCAATCTTAAAGCCACGCTGGCTGACCCTAAAACTAGCCCTCAGCTAACCCTAGACCGACCGTAGGCCAACCTGAAGCCCGTCAAAGCCCACCTTCAACCCATCTTAAACCCACCTTAAGTCACCCAAAACAAACCCGCCTTAACATCAAGCTAGAGGGACCATAGCATAAATGTCCCACAAAAGCTGCAGAACAATTCCCAGACAAAAACACCCTTCTAAAACTTTCGGGCCCGCCCACCGCCCACCGCACCCACCATGTCTGTTTCGGGGCTTTGGGTGTGCCACTTATAGCACATGGCTTGACTGCATGTGCAAGAAGGCCAGGCAAAACGCGGTCTTTACTTGTGCTGGCACGCCCTTAATTTGAAGAGTTGGAACCACCTCAAAAGTGGGTAGCGGACATAGGCCCCCACCGAAATTTGATGTCCACCAGCATAGGTGTCCTTTTTAGATTAGTTGGTCAAAAATAGAAGACGCTGGCTTAGATGGGTTTTATTCCATGTACCAGGGCCATCTATTTTTCCGAAAGGACACCTACTGTGGATGGACACACCAATTTGAATCCATGGAAAACCATTATTTGTTGGTATTTACGGGGGGAATCATCCTTCCGGGGTTTCTTGGGTGGTACAGGATTTCGTCCACCATCCCAAAACCTCGTCGTTTGTTGTTTTTCCACTTCCTGCGTTGCGCGCCGCTGGGCCCGGTCTTCGGTCTCCGAGGAGCGGTGGGTCTTCGAGGGCGTGGGCGGTCGCATGTCATGTGGCACAGCGTCTTGAGCGAGCGACGGAGAAAGTTTCACATGCGCCTTGGACAGAGGTGGCCATGGGTCATAACCTATGCCTCCATTTTGCGGATGAACGCACCTATTTTGATGTTTTTCTGGGTCTTGACGCACAGCCAGGTGATGTTTTCCTTTTGGGGGATGGCTCATCATGAGGTTGATGTTGAGGTCCATTTTGAGGGCTGATGCTGTCAAACCCAACGGAAAACCTCACCTCAAAAAAGGGAGCCCTTAAACAAGGGTACAACCAACATGGTGCAAACACGCAAACACTCAAACACACAAACACACAAACACACAAGCACACAAACACAAACACACAAACACACAAACACACACACACACACAGACACACACAGACACACACACAGACACACACACACAGACACACACACAGACACACACAGACAGACACACAGACAGACACACAGACACACACACACAGACACACACAGACGCACAAGCACACACACACAGACAGACACACAGACACACAGACACACACAGACGCACAAGCACACACACACAAACACACAAACATACAAACACACACAGACACACACGGACACACACAGACACACAGACACACACACACACACTTACACACACACACACAGACGCACAAGCACACACACACACACACCTACACACACACTTACACACACAAACTTACACACACACACACTTATACACACACACACACACACTTACACACACACACACACACACTTACACACACACACTGACACACACACACTTACACACACACACTTACACACACACACACACTTACACACACACACACACTCTCACACACCCACACACCTACACCTACACACACACATACTTACGCACACACTTACACACCCACTTACACACGCACACACTCGCACACACACACACACAAACCCGCACGCATGGGGAGGCTGGATTAACCAGGCTCTCATGAACGGACAACGCAAAAAATGGGAGGTGTCCTTTGTTTGGGGGCGGTTTGGAACCCTGGGAAGGATTTGTCACATCGGAGGAATACATTTTGTTTTTATAGACTTACTGGTCAAAGCAGATCAGACGCATTTCGAGAATGAACTGGAGCTAAGATCTTGGGAAATTGTGCTGGGTTCTGGAATCGGTCCTGTCCTGGGCCAGTCCTGGGAGGCTCGGGCGGGAGGCAGAGGGTCGGCGGATTTCTTGCAAAGGGCGTCAGTCCCAAGTCATGAAATTTGCGTAACTCCCTAGGCCCCGATTTTGGTATGTTCCATGTTGTTGTGGCTCTTTGCAGATGATTTTTCTATAGGGACCACACTTAGTTCTGAATGTTCTAAGCCAAGTGGCAACAGCGTGGGCAACCGGGATCCACGTAAAGATATGGCATCTTTGTTTGCATAAGTGTTCAGTTGGTTTTCTATGGTGTTCCTGTGGCTTGCATTTGTTTCCAACGGTTTCATGTCATTTCCCGTGCCTTCCACTAATTTCCCATTTCCGAGGTCCAGGAGTTGGACGTGGCTGGACAGCGGCTGGCTCTCTTTCACCAGCTTGGCGCGGCTTCGCGCGGTGGCGACTCAGAGCTCCGATGTTTGGGCGGGGAGGCAAGCTTTAGGGCCCCTTCTACATGGTCAACAATGTGAGCTCGCCGGATTGAAGCCACCCAACGTCATCCAATTAATTTCTGGGCGTGACTAAGCCTACGCACGTGGAAACGTATGTCTTGAGTGTGACCATAGCTGACGAAGATTTAAGAAACGTTTGCTGGTTTGCAACGCTTGTGCTTTTGACAAGCGATGTGCTTAAAGGGTGAGGAAGATGCTCTTTCAAGTAAAGTTGACCTTGCAGTCTGTTCGTGCTGAGCAATGTAGGCTCTACCTCCTCAAGCTCAAACTCTATCCTCCGTGTGTTTGTTTCCCCCAAACTTGTGTTTTCCCATTCCCAGTGGTTCCATTTACCTGTATGGTAACCAAGGGCTTGCCCCCCTTTCAAAAACAACCCGGCGGACCGAAATCCGCGCTCGCGTTTTGCCGCTTCTCTGAAAATACTTACGTTTCACCTCAGCGAAACGCACATTGAGTCCCCAAAAAACCTTCCGTTTCGCTGAGGCGAACCGCAAATTGTATCGCCCATTCCCTGCCTTCTCCTTTTTCACGTCTTTGCGATCGCTACGACAGTTTGCGGCTCCACATCTCGCTGGCGCAAGACATAGCGCCGCTGCCAAGACTTTACATACAAGAGGACATGCGGGCTGCACCGAGGCAGCGAATTCGGGACATATGCTTTGCAGTTTGACCAGGTAGAGTCTATCGTGCTAGTGTGGCAAACGACCTTCGTCCGCGAAAAGCATCTTTGGTCCGGCGTGCTATAACAAAGAGTCGAGCGGGTGCGCTTAAGTCAGGCGCGCGCAGTGTTATAACGCAGCAGTCGGGCGGGTGTGCTTACCATTGTCAAAAACAAGAAGACAATAGCTGGTTGCCAATAGGGGCTTGCCTGGGATCACCTTTGCGCGGGACATTAATCTAGTAGTAAGTTCCCCATTCTTTCCAGGGATCCTTCTTTCTCGAAAACCACCAAAAAGTCTCCGGGCAAATGGCGATCGGTTTTTGAAAGAACGCTGGCTGCAAAGAATGGAAAGGAAGCAACCCCTGGAGTGAAGGGAAATCGCTACAAGTCAGTAACAAGTGACGCAATGGCTGGTTACCAAGACCTGGGATTCATTCGCTTCGATTTCACCACGGTTTTTCCGGGAGAGAAAAACCCGAGGACGGGCTGGCGCCGCAGCTGGCGAGATGACACTTTCCAAGGTGCGGCGTCCGGAGTCCCCGTGCTTTGAGGGGTGGCCCAACGGGAGGCAAAACGGTAGGCGTAGAAGAGGTTTGTTTTGTTCAACTGTTACTCTCAAAAAGAGACTGATGATGGCCATCTGTTGCTTGGTATGACAGGCAACCCACTTCTTCTTTTTTTTGGCATCTGCCCATTTTGACAGATTCTACAGCGCAGCGATGTTGAAAACGGCGCATGGAACCTAAAAAACGGGGGCCCCACTGTTCCCTGTAGGGTCCACTCAGAACAAGCCCAGGATGCCCTAAACGGGCATACCCTGTGGCATGGGGCCTTACTATTTTCCCATGCCCACTGTGAGCAGGACCGTTGCAGGGGAACATACCATAACATGCCCATAAACTGAGCTTGGAAGGAGCGTTGGGCGATTTTGCATGAATATGCTACGCGCCCATCTAGGCTTGCGGCTCAACAGGATTTTCAGCCAACTTAGGTTTCGTACAATCATGGTGGTCATCATGCCAAACGCAAAGCGCTCCTTACAACAATCGATGTCCGACAGCACGCTCTCAGCGCGACGCTGTGCCTGGAACGCGCGGGGGCCGCGGGAGCCAGTGGATCAATGCCAGCCTTTCTCAGCAGATGCCTGCGCAACGATGACTTAATCAAGGGCTTGCTGGAAAACCGTTTGCATTTGCGACATATCCACGGCTACATGTCAAGTTAGGTCCAGTGCGCAGATCCCTGGCTCGTGATGATCCGTTCGATTCTTGTGCGGAGTGTTGTCAGATGCCGTGAGAAATCATCCCATCCCAGCTCTGCAGGGTCTGCAATAAAGCTGCAGCCGTCTTCGGGCATGCCAGCCTTGCTGAGAACCAAGATTGAAGCACGCCTAGCTTGATCTCTGTGGGAGCAGACCTCCCGCACAGAAGAAACAGTACCCAGTACTTTAGCTGCCGGTTCTATGTTTTCTCCAAGTAGCACTGCCGCAAGCAGTCTGCAATGAGGACTTGTCGCTGTAGGCGCTGCAACACTCTGTAGAAAGCCCCAGACCTTCGTCGTACCCATTTTAGCTTCAAATCCTCCTCCCCCCCTTTGCATGGCCCACATTGCTTGTTTGGCAGAAGAGATGTTTTGGAGCGGAACTTTTATACAGCAACCCCTGTGCCCGGTGCTTCAGCTGTCATTTTCCCTAGAAACAGCGCACGTTTGAGTGAGAACTTGGGCTTGAGTTTCCAAGTAGCTCCGACCCAAGCAGTCTGCCATGAGGACTTGTCACTGTAGGCATTGCTGCATTTCCTACGAGCGGTTGTGAGCTAGCCCTGTTTTGACTGCACGATGGCAAAGCTGTTGACTCCTGCCTTGGCCCGAGACCTGCATGCGCTGCGCGTGGTAACCAGACCTAAGCTAACCTCAAACCGTTCTGCCCCCCCTTTGCGTCGCCTGCCATTGCTTTGGCTGGGGCAAGTGAGACCTCTTGAAGCTTTGCAAGAGTTTTGCTGGACACACTGCCCGAGCAGTTTGCCGGGAATTCTGTGGCTGTGAAGGCTGCATCGCTGTTGCCGCTTTGTCAGCCTGAGGAGCCATCCGTGCCACCCCTGCAAACTAGCTGATTAGCTACTCGCAGCTTTGTGCCGCTGCCGTTTGCGGCCATGCCAGCCTTGCTGAGAACCATCCAGATTGAAGCACGCCTAGCTTGATTTCTGTGGGAGCAGACCTCCCGCACAGAAGAGACTGTACCCAGTACTTTAGCTGCCGGTTCTGTGTTTTCTCCAAGTAGCAGTCTGCAAAGAGGACTTGTCGCTGTAGGCACTGCTGCCTTACTGACGAGCCTTTGTGAGCTTTGCGGTCAACACCCTGTAGCAGATGCACGACGACAAATTTGTTTTTGCCTGCCTTGGCCTGAGCCCAGCACCCTATGTGCCTGGAAGCCCTCAGACCTCCATTCTACACCCCCCTTTGCATTGCCAAACATTTCTTGTCTGGCGATACTTCCACACAGTCAAGCCTGTGCCCAGTGCTCGAGCCGTCACTTCCTAGTAGGCAAGACGCGCACGTTTTAATGAGAACTTGGGCTTGATTATCCAAGTAGCTCCGACCCAAGCAGTCTGCCACTGCTGTATTGCTGACGAGCGTTTGTGAGCTAAGCTGTCAACGCCCTGTTGCGGCGGCACGATGACGAAGCTGTCAACTCCTGCCTTGGCCCAAGACCTGCATGCGCTGAGTGTGGCAACCAGCCCGTTGTCTCAAACCATTCTAGATCGCTTTGCGTCGCCCGCCGTTGCTTTGGCTGGGGCAAGTAAGACCTCTTGACGCGTCGCACCCGTGAGGACTTGGAATTCTGGCTGCATTGCTGTTGCCGCCTCGTCAGTTTGAGTCACGAGTGCCACCCACAGCTTTTTGTGGCACAGCTGCAGCCGTTTTGCATCCATGGCAGCCTTCCCGAAGCCAAGCTTGAAGCAAGCGTGGCATGATCTCGGGAGCAGACCTCCTGCACAGAAGAACCACGAGCGTTTTTTAGCTAAGCTGCCGGGCTGAAAGCGGCTGCACGAGCACCAATCTGCTTGCACGACAGCGTCCCAGCCGGTCCCAGCCGATTGTAGTTTTGTTCCCAGCCATTTTCTGGGAGCACGCAATCTGGCAGTTTGTGAGCCATGAGTGCACTAGGAATTTAGCGGCAAGAGGAGAACTGTAAGGATGACCCCAGTGACCCCTTCAAGGTGTTTGCTTTGGTGGACCCAACTCTTTGCCGCGCAGCCGGTTGCAGAAATGCCAGTCCGTTGAAACAGGGCAATCGCCGTTCGCAGCCATGCCAGTCTCTCCGACGCGGTACGACGCTTGGCAGAATATCTCTCCAAGCTGCTGCTGGGCTTTGTGAATTTCATGGCCTTCGACCCTTTAGTTGTGTTGGGGACTCTGTGCCGGGCAAAGGTTGAATGAGCCCGTGCCTTGGTCAGATATTTTTGGGCCAAGTGGCCTTGCTGCATGCGGCGTAGCGGACACGCACATGTGATTGCCAGTGGCCATGCAAGACTTTCCACAGCCAAGTGCGGCTTGGGGCTGAGCCAAGCTCGAAAACAAGGGCTCGACCCTCCAGCACCCGAGCTGCTGGCCGCTTGCCATGCCAAGCTCCGCAAGAGCGCTGGACGAATTGTTGCCATGAGGACCTCGCCTTGCTTCTTTGTGGCTGTTGGCCCCACGGCATTGATGATGCACTCCTGTGGGCAGTGAAGGAGTTTAAAGGCTGCGTGAAAACCAACGTAACGACCACCCACACGAGGTGTTTGCTTTGGCGCACCCCAGCTGTTTGCAGCAGCTGCAGCTGGTGGCAGCCATGGCTGTCTTGGCTGTCTGCTTAAAGAGGGCAAGCAAGGTTAAACAAGCGCGCCGCGCCACAGGTTAAGCGCCCTGTTTAACATCAGTCGTTTGCATCCGTGCAAGACTTTGCGAAGCACGGCGTTCAGCTTGCGGCAAGCGCTCAATTGCTCGAACCTCCAAACCCCGGCTGCTGGCCCCTTGCCATGCCAACTAGCTTCGCAAGAGTGCTGCTGGAAGACGTGTCCAAGTAGTCTGCCATGAGGACTTCGACTTGCTTATTTGTTGCTGCTGGCCCCGCGGCATTGCTGATGCACTCTTGTGAGCAGTGAAGGAGTTTGAAGGCTGTGTGACCACTGTAAGGACGACCCAAGCGAGGTGTTTGCTTTGGCGAACTTCAGCTGTTAGCCGGTTGACGCCATGGTCTGCTTAAAGAGGGCGATCAAGGTTGAACACGTGCGCCGCGCCATAAGATAAGCGCCCCGTTTCGCAGCCGTTTGCATCCATGCCAGACTTTTCAAAGCACCGTTTGCTTGAGCCTCCGGACCTGGCTGCTGGCCCCTTGAGCCAACTAGCTTCGCAAGAGCGCTGGACGACGTGTCCAAGTAGTCTGCCATGAGGTTTCGGACGTGCAGCATATTTGTGGCTGCGGCGTTGCTGCACTCCTGTGGGCAGTGAAGGAGTTTAAAGGCTGCGTGAGAACCGATGAAAGGAAACCTCAGGCGAGGTGTTTGCTTTGGCGGACCCCGGCTGCGTGCAGCAGCTGCACCCGATTGCAGCATGGCTGTCTGTGTCTGCTTAAAGAGGGCAATCAAGGTTAAGCGCCACAGGTTAAGCGCCACAGGTTAAGCGCCCTGTTTGGCAGCAGTCGTTTGCATCCGTGCAAGACTTTGCAAAGCACGGCGTTCAACTTGGGGCAAGCGCAGCTCGGGGGCTCGTGCGGGCCAAGCTCGTGCACAATTGTTCCAGCCTCCAGCTAGGGGGTCCCTTGCCATGCCAACTAGCTTCGCAAGAGTGCTGTTGGAGTTTGTGATAACTTGGACTTGGTTTCCAGCAGCTCGCTTCTGCATGGCTGCTACAACTTTAAGTCTGCGCAAGGACTAATGTAAGGTTGACTCGTTGAGGTGTCGGCTTTGGCGACCAACTGTTTTTTCGGGAGGTGGAGCCGTTGGCAGCCATGCCAGTCTGTTTAAAGGCGATCAGGGCAGGCGCACCGCGGACCAGTTTTGCGCAGCAGCCGTTTGTTTCCAGCTTCGGGCAATCATGGGTTGGGGCGTCCAGTCTCCATTGCCCTTGGACGGCAAGTAGCTTCGCAAGCGTGAGGACAAGCCTTAGGACGACCGAAAGATGTTTGCTCTGGCGGACACCTGCTGCTTGTCGCGGCGGTCTGCAGCCATGCCAGTCTTTCCAAATCGTTCCCCCTTACTTACTTCCCACCGAAAATGTTCGTTTACGGGAAACAACCTGTTCAACTAAAGAGCTTTCATGACAATTAGTTGTTTAATGAGATGTGGGTGTTTGAAGGTTTGGCGGAAGTGCCCCTCAAGCTGCCCTAAGCCAGTGATCCCTTCATGCGTCAAGCAGAGCATATCGCAGGTGCCCATCAAGGGTTTTGAAAAATATCACATTGCTCAACATGGAAGGTGATCAACCGCCCGTTTGGGATCAAAGCGGTGCAAGGGTGCAAACCCTTAACT